CGGAGGCGGCGGCGGAGGAGGAGGCGGCGGTGAAGACGATTCCACGGGGTTCTCGATCACTATCTCCATCCTGTGGCGGAGAGGATCGCGTGAATGGTCCACCGGGTGATAAGAACCGGTGGGAGCCTCCTGCTATAGCCAGGTGGTGCGTGTGGTTCCGGCCCGCGAGCCGGTAGGTAGATCTCAAACGATTATCTCGCGGATGATCCTTCGTCCACGGCTGTTCGGGGTCGAGTAGCCCGATTCCAGGCTCTCGTCGTACGACAGGCTGACCTGCTGAGGTGGCTTCGCGTCCTCGTCGTAGTTCTCCTGATAAGGTAGACCGGACACGTCGTACGGCGAATCTGTCGGACAAACAACGAACAAGAGTCTGTAGAGGCTGTGAAAACAAAAGAATGCGGAGGCGAATACGTGCGCTGAGAGCGTGAACGGGCTGGAACAGGATGTGCCCAGGGATGGGCTCGAGTTGCCGCAAACATTGTTCGTCAAGTTGAATACTCTGGAGATTTTTCGATCGCGTATGTATGTCTTTGCACTCGAAAACGTGGATAAGTATTAACCATGGAGTACTTTTCAACTTTATGCGGGACACGAGAGCGATGTTCTAATAACGGATGAAATTTCATTCGTTATCGCTAGACTGCGGATATTTATGCGTACATGATACATCCAAGTCTTCAAAGCATGTACCGCTCTGTGATTACATGATTTATGCATATTTCGCAGGCTTGGATATGTCGTAAATACATAAACATCCGCAGTCTACTTATCGGGGAGCACGATGACGCTACTGAACGTTTTATTAGAAAATATCGACGCATCTGATATACCTCGAGCACTTAATATTTCGAAACAGACAAGTTATTTTAAGAGCCTTGCTTGAAACGAATTTGTAAATTATTTTCGTCTTTAAAAAAGATAACTAATTATGGAAGGTTACGCAGAAAACTAATTCCGCCGATCGATTTCGAATCTTTATAAATAGTTATACGTAACTCATCTGTTGGTGCTCGCGCGAGAGGAAATTTTATTTCGGTGATCGAAATAAAAGCGATAGAAACCCGGCTGGCCGACGCGGCCACTGGAATTTATTCGTTATTTACGAATAATTCGGAAGACAAATGAAAGATAACGAATGCGTTCGATTTATTCGTTATTCGCGAATAATATTGTTTGCGTGAAAAACAGAGAAAGGTATTTGCCAAACGTACATATAAATTTACATCCCCGCGATGATTCCCTTCGTACCTATCCATATTTATATAGATTTATCATTTCCACTACGCATCGACAAGTTTTCTCGTTTCGTTGAAAATACAGGTGGAGAGTTAACCTGCTTATAAGATCAAGCAAAAATTTACCGATAACAGCGCGACGCGTCGAAATATGTTTAATCAGCATTATTTCGTGCAACGTTTCACCGATGACATAAGTCACCATAATTTATACATTTCATGTATGCAAATTAAAAACGAAGAAACGTAATAAATTTACTGGTATTAATTCCATTCCGAGATAAATTAAAATGTTGGAAAAGTATTTACAAGTAAGGCATTATTCGTGTTCCACCCTTAGCAGCGATCGACCCTACGTCCAACGATGAGCATTCAATTCTATCTGTCGCAAGTTCCTGAGCAATTTAGTTATACGGAAGTTCGCGAAATCGCCCGGAGTCCCGTTATTCGAATCGAAAAATGTTTCGAGGTGTTTCCGACGTCTTGACAGCTTTAATAGCCAACGGGAACGAATTTAAGGCACTTTGAGCATTTCGAAACGTCCCCCGCCCAGCTACACAGAATATTAGAAGTTGGCCGCTGATCAGAAACGTTATTTTCCTTCGACGGAACACAATGTTCTGAATTACGTTCCATCGTTCTTTCAACTTTCCAAGTAGGTGCAGAAACTTCTCAAGAATAAAGTATGTTAACGCTTAAACGGCTGATCTTTCAAAGCGTTATTTGCCTTCAATGATCGATAGCGCTTCACGAAAAGCGCCAACTTTTTAAAACTTTCTTTTACATTTCGCAACTTTTCCGTTTTGTTAATCCTTTGTAAACGAATCCTACAAGATGGCATCTTCACAAGTGGATAAACCTTATTACACGATTCAGGGATTAAATTCTGTACAAAGTTTTAAACGCGTATATCTCGATATTTTCCTGTATCGCGGGCTCTGCGAGAGATGACGAAGATGCACGAAGACTCCCGAAGGAGCCACACCTCAGTGACAATTTCGCCCACGGCAATATTTCGGTTAACTATCAATATTCGTGTCGAAATATTTTATTTCGAAGTAAAATTTTCGAGGAATAGAAATGGTAAGAGAATAGTACTCACCGACGTGTTTTTGAGACTTTACGACAGTGGCGAATGGTTCGGAGCAAAACTGCTGTCGACTTAGATTATGGCTTTCCCGGTAATCCTCCCTCTGTGGGAGGTAATGAGGGTGGGTCGGGTAATCCGACTCGGTGGTTGCGTAGCCAGCCAGATCGTAAGGTTGGCCAACACCGTTCGCGGCTGCTGACTTCATCTGCCAGATAGAGTCTTGCGAGTTAACCGAGCCTCCGTTATTGGAGTTCGAGTAACTGTTGTCCATGTAACCCATGTTGACGCCTGTCAGGACACGAATAAAGCAATTGCAATTTACTTGGCCGCGAACAATGAGCGGTTATATAGTTCCGACACGAAAATTGCCATCGCGAGGATTTGAATTTATAAGAAACCGTTTCTGCGGACCGTGCGAATTTCAATCGGATATGTACTTTATCGATCGTAAAATAGATTGGCAAATAAATTCACGATCTTTCAGCGTATTTTTGCTGCAATTTTATTTCGGAATCAAAATATTACGAAAATGGTAAAAACGAAGTTTCACAGTTTTGCGAAACGCTTTATTATTACACCCGTTTAAACGACGAATATTCTAGAAAATCGATATACGTAAATAACTACAGCTTCAACAAGATATTTACAGAAGGAAACCGTGAAAATTATGTTGCTTAAGTACCGCAGTTTTTCAAGGCGGTAATTATTGACTCGTCAAAAGATCTTTCCGTTAATGGCAGAAAATAATCGGATCTAAAAGGTTTTGTCTAATTAAAGATCGCAGATAAGAAAAGCACGTAAATTAAAAAGAAATTATCGTGGTTTGCGGAATGGCATAATAAAAGAACGGTCAATACGAATGTACGCTATACAAGGTGACTAACGCAACCGTAAGGAAGGAATGGTAAATTGAAATTGCAGTTTACAGGGGGTGAATCGTTACCGTCGTTACGAGAAAGATACGATCACGGAATACGCTAGAGCTCGTTAGACCATTTTACTTTTTTCAATACATTTTTGCCATCTTCAACCGAAAGGAGATACGAGGGAGTAAAACGCGGTCGGTATAAATATCCCGACCTCGACCATTCGCGAGACCACTATCACGGGAATTACTATCGCAAAAAGCTTCATTACCATTGATATTGTGGTTCGGTTGATGGTAACCGTATCCAGGTTGCGAGTACGCCGGTGTTTTCGAGTCCTCCATAGCCAGAGCGTGATCCAAACTGTGCTCGAGGGCTTTGTTCTCCGCGTAGTAAGGCGGAGGTGCTTGGCTCTGTTGACCGTTTCCGGCGACGAGACTCGGTCGAACTCTGAATGGACAAAAGAACATCGAAACCCCGTTCCGTGAACCGTTCACGATAATTGGGACCTCCGCGGGTCGAGTGTCTGTCGTTAAAATCTCAAGAGGAACTTACGCGTTCGAGTCCATCTCGTAGTCCTTGGCCTTGGTGGCGTGTTTTCGACGACATCGACAAAAGAGCAACAGAAGCGCGGCGAACAGCAAGAAGACGGCTCCGCTGACCACCAGAGCGATCAAGGTGGGCGTTGCGAGGGCGCCCGCTTGGGCGATGTAGGATGGGCCGACTAACACGGGCAGAAAATCGTTGAACGTCTACGCAAATCGACAACCGCGTGTAACCGGAGATACTCACTTTTAGCCTTGGCGTAATCGCCGCACTTTTGTCGGTCCGCCTTCAGACACAGCCTGACCCTGATCTCGGGCTCGCCCTCGAGTGCGTCCAGGTCGTCCAGGACGCCCTCCCGCTGCGTGGGAGCGCTGCCGAGTACTTCGAGTGGCCACTC